TTGATCTGAATTTAAAGTCCAAATAAATAGAAGCTGTAAAACACACTTGTCTGACGAGATGGCCACCCTGCACTATGGAAACGCAAGGAGTGGATTATTGAAAAAATATCACAATTATCCAAAAAGTAAATCTTCAAAAACCAGAAATTTGATTATCGCCCAGTCCTGGTCTGAACCTGGAAACTTAAAAAAAAAACAATTCTTACTCATTTAAAACCAATCGGAGACACTTGCATCAAATCAAAGTCCAAAATTGTCCAAAATGAAGGTTAAGCTGGAATAAATCGATCTAAAACAGAACACTGGTTGGTTTAAAATCAAGTCATGTCTAAAGTTTATCTCGCATATGAACCAAACTGGTCCAGAACCAGTTTAACTCAGTTTGAAACCAGTTTGAAACCAGGCTACTGGAACAGGCAGGAGCTCAACAAAACCTTTCAGATTTTGAATAAATGAGTTTGGAGTCGTTTTATGAGCAGGAAAACAGAATTTAACTGTAAATTTAATGAATTAATCAAACAGATAATATTGCTTTTAAGCAGAATAGATCTTACACATTTTGCTCTAATTGGATAAACAGTTGGATTATGGCTCAGATTAATCCAGCTTTGACCATTTGATGAATGAAACCTTCTTCAGTTTGAAGTTTTTTCTTTCCTCTGCCAACGTCTTCATCCAACATGTTTACACAAACCGAACTTGGCTTCATTTTCTGCAGGTTTCTTCAGGGAGATATTGATCTGGAATAAAGCCGCTGATGAAATGAACCGAAATGAGAATGAAATCTCTTCCAGTGGTGTTTAATGTTTCAGGCTACAGTGAGAAACTCTGCAGAGATTGAGTCAGAAAATTGCTTCTCCAGTAGAAACCGGAGTTCAGTGAAAATTGGAATCCTGTGAAACATTATGTACTGGAACATTACACGGAAATGATCAAAGCTGGGAGGAATTGCTCTTGTTGGAAAACTGAATGGGGAGCACAAAGGCTCCATTTCACTCCCAAAACTCTTTCTGTAGGAGAAAAGCCGAAGCAAACAGACTCCACCTGCAGGTTTCAAAAACACGCTGAGAGGATTCCAGGAAGTGTTCCTGTTGTTTCGATTCAGGTTTAACACCTCCATGTTTCTAAATGTGATTCACAGCCATTGTTCAGGCAGGTGAAGCCGACAGGAGTGACGGAACGATAATGATGTAAAAGCTTGAAAGAGCTTTGGCTGAGAGCTGCGGCTTTTAGTTAAAGGTCTGAACAGAGCAGCTCATTACGCCCATCAACGTCCAGTTTTACCTCCAGATCCGATTCACTTCGTCTTAAATCCATGAAAAAATGTCAGATTATCAGTAAGAATAATCCAAAAATCTGTCAGAAAAGGATGCAAAACCACTTATTTATCTGACCATGTTTTACATATTTGGACATTAATATGCTAAAATAAATCTCTGAAATCTCTAAACGTTTTCATAAACTTGGAATCTGCAACATTTACAACCTAAAGAGACGTTTTTACTCTCCGCCCAGCAAAATAAAACTCATTTAAAACCGCAAATGTCAAATAACGTTTTTAAAAAAGACAACTTATAACTTTAGAAACATATCTACTGCAGAACATTTGCAATTGAATTTCCGCAAAGGATCACACTGAAAGTTTCAGTAAAATGCTTTTTAAAATGTTTTCTTGACAATCTATATAATTTTCTGTCCCACTTTTCAAAAAGTTATGTTTATTTTTATTTTAAATCCTAAAAATAGACATAAAATTGTTTCTTTAAAGACTACAACAAATTTGGTAAAGTAGATATTTATCTAAATTTATAATTTACATATATATTATAAGGTTTTTTTGTGGTCTGATAGCAAAACAGCTCTTTATTTATAAATGTTGCAGATCCTTGGTCTAGTCAAATCCCAGATTAGAACTAGAAGAAACTCCTCGAACAGCTGAAAGTGAGAATTGGCACTAACTTTTTCTCGGCTTGGAAACATATTTTACACTTCCAGTTTTTAACTAAAACAAACAAAGGCCCATTTGTCCCAAATATTTCACGGTTGTCTGTTTTTTGACGTAGTTCTCTCAATTTTGACGTAAAATATGCATTTATAACATTTATGTTTTGATTTATGTCCTGTAAATACTGTGAACACTTGTAATAAATCATCCAGACTTGATGTCTAATCATGCAAAGAAACGCTGAAATCTTCCCGGGTTTTAAAAGTAAATCTGCTTTTTATGCTTCGCAGCGTTCAGACTGCTGACAGGTTTCTCACTCCATAATGATGCCTGATAATAACAGCATCCTCAGGTGTTTCTCCTCCATCAGAGATAACTCTGTCAGCAGGATCTCCGATCAGCCTCTCCAGCCTGTAATGGATTTTTTTCTTTTTTTTGTCCTTGCTCCTTCGCGTTCAGCCGCAGAGACGGAAGACAATTTCATTTACCTGCAGCTAATGAAAAGCTAGTTTTCAGTGTGATAGTGGGACGCCGCCTTCCTGCCTGCAGCTGAAATGAATGACTGGATCATCTGCAGAGGCCCGTCTGCCGCGCCGTAAACTCAAACCGTTTTCCTGCTGTCTGCGGCTTCCTGACGTTTCAGAGGAAAAACAGGCAGGAGCAGAAAGAAAGAGGGAAATCTGGTGAAACCTTCCTGCTCTGAAGGGCTGAGACAGGATGAGTGGGCGCCTTGGCTTTAAAAGCTTTCCTGTTTTTAGTCATTCAGAAGCTAAAATGCAAGAAAAACGACCAGTGAGTGGTTTGTTGTTTAGTTTAGTCAGGAAGGTGTATGAAGAGTTCAAGTTCAGAAGCATTAAGGTGAAACGAAGGCAAGGCCGCAGAGTTTTCTTAAAGAAAAGCTGATTTGCTTCATTCATCCTTGAGCAGATTATTGGGTTTGTATCTTGGTGTGTTTTGAAACGTGTCTGAAAAGCTTTTGGTTTGCAGAACAGATTCATTCCCTTGAGTTTGGCAGCAGGAGGAACATTATGGACCTGCTGAAAAGATGTGAGCTGATTAAAAGAGCTTTTTATGATGGTCAAATGTCCAGGATTAATGAAGAAACACACTTCTGTCCACCGTCTCTCTCTCTTCTGTCTTTCTCATTGCTTCTCTCTTTTTCTCTTCCTCTCTGTCTATTGCTTTTTCTGTTCCTCTCTCCATCTCTGCTCTGGTTTTGTCTTTTTCATTGTCTCTCAATCTTTCTCTTTTCTGTCTATTTATCTCTTCCTATTCTCTCTCTTTTGCTTTTTCTTTGTTTCTCTGTCTCTCACCTTCCCTGTCTCTATATGTCATCTCTCTCTTTCTCCTTTTCTGTCTTTTTCTCTGTCTATATTTCTCTCTTTTTTTTGTCCCTTTCTCTCCATCTGGTTGGCTCTCATAGATAGCTATGGGTAATCTTTTTGATTTATTTTTGTGGCCACTTTATTTCTACATTAATAGAAAATGAAGCCATGATATGGATCTGAAGCAAAGATTGAGTTCTGTAAAAATCAGTTTCATTATTTTTATTTGGTATTTAGTCAATTTAAAAAAATAATGGAACCCATGAAGAAGAAAATCTCCCAAGAATTGATCCCGGCAGGAATTAATTTTATTATTATTAAAATACTTAATCTCTTTTTTCTTTTTTTTTTGTAAAGCGGCATTTTTTGTATAATCTAGGTATTGTAAGGTACTTAAATTGTATTTTATTTGTGTGTGTGATGCGGTTGGGGAAAACTTTCAGTTTGTATTTTTTGCTTAAGGCTTTCTGCTGTAAGTTCACCAGATGTTTCGTGGAAGAAAATCTGAAACTTTTCTTAACCCTGGGCTGTGATTGTCTTCATGATGAATCTGTTTTGGTGGAAATAATCAGATTTACTTGTGTTGATAATAATCCTCAGAGTTCTTGGTGTCTTCGTGGCGTAGCGACAGTATCTGAACGAGGCTCTGGTCATTTTCACTGTAACTGCCTCCTGCTGGAGCTGTGAATATGTGTGAGCCACACTTCTAATTGAGCGCCGACATGTGGGCACATGTTTGGTCGTCATGCTGCTGTCGCTCCGGGGACCGGCCTCCTTCCTCCGCCTGCAGCTCCTCACACCTCCTCCACCCATCAGACGGCCGCGTGTCGTTTCCTGTCTCTGACCTCCAACACCTCGGCCTGTGGCAGAAATTACTCCTCAGGCCGGCTTGTCTGGACTCGGCCTCTTCTTCGTCTACTTAATGTAGATCGCTGATGGAAATGCTTTTTCTTAGTATGTTTCTTTCTTTTCTAATGTTACTTTAGTTTCTACCAAATTTTCCTCCTTGGTGTGACTACATCAACTCTTTTTTTAGGGCTTGCATTGGTACGGATGTATGATTTTAACATTTTAACATATCAGACAAATATAAACAACCTATGTTTACTTCCATCTTGTTGCCATTTGTTTCTAGAGGATTGTGGGAAGTTTTAGGCTGCTTTCAAAGCAGCCATGTTAAGTCTGCTTTAATCCAGTCCGTTTGGGCAGAAAGTCTGGTTTGTTTGGGGAGGTGCGATCGCGTAATCGAACTCTGGTCCGCCTCCAAACCTCGATTTCAGTTTGATTGAAGTGAACTCAGCAAACCACAACTCCCTGCTGCTTCCAGATTTCCCCCGTGTGAAAAGCAATGCATACAGAACGAATTTATCAGTCGGACTGTCATATCAGGAAAAAAATAAATAAAAAGGTAAAGTCTGGACCAAGTTTTTATTTTGAGATCAGATGTTCAAAGCTCGCAGGGGGAGGAAGAGGAGGAGGAGTTCATCAGGAGGAAGGAGAAAATAAATCATTTTATTTCTTGATTGCTCCAAATTTCTGCTCTGCCTCCCGTTTTCCTGAGATTCAGGAATGATTTATGGGAACATTTTGCTTCTCTGTCCTTAGTTGACTTGTGTAGATTAATTCCAGTCGTTTGCAACTGCAACAGCCAATGAAATCAGGTTTTATGGAGTAAATATTAATCTCTTACAGTAATTCTGTTCCTGAAGATATTCCTCTTTCTTTTACAGAACCAGACGTTGTGCAAAGGCCTCAATGAGCTTCAGAACGGCCAGGTAGGCGACGCCTGCCCTCTTCCTTTGATCAGCGGTGGTGGGCTTAAAGGAGACGTGTTGCGTAAAATTCACATTTTGCATGTGTATGTACTTCCATTTGGGTTTTAACTGCTTCTAAAAACAGTCAAAATGTTTTTTTTTAAAAACAAACAAAAAAAAACAACACCAAGCTGTTTTTGGCAATAAGTCAATTATTATTATTATTATTATTTTTTTTGGTGTCTGGAAAGTGAGCCGTTTCAAAAACCTCCAGAATGTAACGTCACCAATCAGCATCCACTGCCCGTTACCTAGCGACCAGAGCGGAACTCCAGCACACTTGTTCAGCTGGTTTTACTGCTATACAATGGCTGCTGGAGAAGACTAGTTTTTTTCAAAGATGTGTTGTTGTATAATTGCGCATCTATTTTCGCTTGTGAGTGTAAACGTTGAGTTTGAGGGCGTGGCCAGCAGCAGCTTATTTTGATTTAAAGTGACAAGAAGCCAAAATAGGCTAACAGCTCATTTTCTAAGAATGATTATGTGCAAAAAATATAATGAACATGTTAAGAATAGGCCATGACATGTCATAACCTGTTCCACATTGCATAAATAGGCCACCTTTTAAGTAAAGTTCAAATGAACAGAGAAAAGTAGGAGAAAATGTCTTCTGCCACACCTCCTTTTTTCCAAAAATAGTAAAGAATTATTGTCTTAAAACAAGTTTTTATAAGTTGCTGAAAAGTTACTTGCAAGTTGGTTTTACTGAGATATTTACACTGGAAACTAGACCAAAAGTACGTGGTAAGAGTTTGTGTTTTTGCAGTAAACTGGATAAAAGACGGTTAATTGTGAGCTTGTAGAGCGCTGTACTTTCAGCGAGCGGCTCTTTAACGGTCTGTAGCGACTCTCTCCTTAGGCTGCAGACCAGAGGAAGAGAGAAGTGAAAGGATTCATTATCCGTCAGTTTAATTTCAGCGCTGCGATTCATTACGGAGTGGAAGTCGATTCTGGCCTGGCGTTGCGGCTGCGCAGCGTTCTGCAGAAGAGACGAAACCTAATTAAAAGTCTGTGATGGGTGGATAATTGTTGCAGCGCAGCAGTGTGTGTAATTAAGGCTGGATCGCTTTTACAGGTTTATGTTGTAAATATACATTTTATCTCCCCAGTTGCTTAAAGCAGAATTATTATATAGTTTCTGCTCACAACCGTCAAGTTGTAGGAGCTGTTTATATCATTACTGCTGCTGTTAGCTTAAGGAGGTGACTAAAGCGCCCCTTTAGTCTGATAGGAAACAGGAAGCAGAACATCTCTGATGAAAGCAGCAGACTTTTCAAAAATTCACCCAGGTTTGGGTTTCTCTGAGCCAAGATCCTTCAGAAAGCCGAAAGGAGAGAAGAGCACCTTCTTCTGTTTCCTCCCTGAGGTGTAATTAGAGCCAATCAGGAAGATCAATTCCAGCATCATAATACAGCAGAGAGGAGATGCGAAATGAGCAAGCCGGTTTCTCGCAATTTAAAGAGGCAGTACCATCTAAAATTAGCTTATTGGAGCTTTAATTATGTTATAATGTTATTCCCCATCAAAAACAGACCTGGAATGTTGCTTTGATTATTTCATGCATGTTTGGGAAAATGCCTGGTAGGACCTAGCCCCGCCTTCATGGATGAAGCTCCTCCCCCACTCAGCTCCTGCAGACTAACCAGCAACAATTGGCAAACACCTAGTTTAGCTGCACGTCTGCTGAGCTCATTATAGCATCTACTTCTCAGAGCAACTCTGGTTAAAAAAAACCATTGTTAAAGGGTTAATAAAGGAGCCATGTTGGGATGACATACTGGAGGCGGAGTTACAGAAAGAGGAGGAGTTTTTAAAGAGACAGAGGCCCAATTTTACAAAGTTAAAATACAAAGTCCATTTTGTTTGCCTTATACATTCAGCATTTTTTTTAACTGAAGTTAACATAGTTAGTGAAATCTTGGCATGAAGTTTATAAAATCTGTAAATGTCTTCAAATATCAAACCATTTGAATTTAGTTTTGTTATATTTCACATTCAAGTTGAGGCATTTTCGAGTACAATAAACTTTTTTTTAAAGTCCCAACACCAAAAATACAGCAGTTTTCAAAACTAGCCTAGAAAATAAAATAAAATAAAAAAAATAAATTTCCCAAAATACAGGAAATTTATTTATTTTTTTTTGTATGAGAACTAGTCTGCTATTATCAACAGATCACTTTTATTTATTAATTTACTCAGATGTAATTGTAATGATCTGATCTTAAAGTCAAGCTGTGAGCGCTGCAGGTTTTGTCACTTTGTCAGCCTGAAGTGTAAACAGTTTGACAGAAAGCAGAAGTAAAAGATGCGGTGCAGGAAAAGCGGGCTCAGATCCAGCTGAGATGATGGCCGCCGCCATCAGAGGGTCGAATGGAGAGAAATAAATGTAAGAAAATAACCAGGAGACCCAAAATAATCTTCCTCCTCCTCCTCTAAGCTCCTGTTTTTTCCTTGGAGCACAGAGTGAGAGAAGCTAATCTAAGGCACCCCGCTGCAGACGTGGAAAGTGTTCACTTCACATCCACTCGGCCAATATTTACCTGCTGGCTCAAACCAAACGGCTGATCCTGGAAGCTGTCGCGTTCAGCGAGGCGAGAAGAAGATAAAGAGAGACTGGCTGCAGAGAAACAGAGCTTCATACCTGCTAAACAAACACAGATTCGCTTTCAGACGGATTCAAAAGGACCAAAACAGAGTCTGAGGACAAAACTCAACCTTCAGATGTTCCTCTGTTCTTCCTTTAGGCTTCCTGAAGGTTTTTCTTGCTTAAGCAAAAACACTTTTGCCTGAATAATGGTCGGATAATCACAAACTTTATTTTCCTGGTGCTAGATTTTAACATTTTCTCAGAAGTGTAGCGTGTATTTTTCATACTCGACCCCTTTTATTTTGATACCATAAAATAAAATCCAGTGAAATAGTCTTTTTGATCAATGAATATTTGAAAATGTAACCGTATAACTCCAGATGTCCTCTGAAGGTTTCATGGGTTTGTTATTCCTAGATTACACTGCAAGATTTCCTCGTCTTACAATATTAAAGACACCTCAATTATCAGGATTAAGACTCACGTGATTTATCGGTTATTTAAATAATTGTAAACCAATTTAGATTAGTTGCTAACTGGCGTTAATTAATCTATTAATTGTCAACACAACAATCATTTTTAATCTGAATAATCCATATAACAATTGATTATTAAATTAGTTGACAGTTATTTCAATCGATTAATCGTGAATAATCATTTCAGATAGATAGAAACAGTCCGCAAATTGATCAGTAGAAGAAGCCTAATCATCCTTTTCTGATTTAAATTGATAACATTTTATTTCACCGTTATGAACTGTTTTCATAAAGAGGTAAACGTGAGCAGAAACGCTGCGGCTGCATCAGGAACACCATCTGTTGGGTTATTTTGGGAAAATCGTATCATCTGTCATTCGATGCGTTTGTGTTAACGGATCCTTCTGAGTGATTCAGACTAAAGAAATCATCGCCTCATCCTCCCCTCATGAAGACCACCCACCCCAGTGCATGTTGGGATGTTTCCTCTTCGCCCCAGGCTGAAGGAGGGGGGAGGTTGTTGTCGGGCGGAGAGCGTCCCTTTGTCCGCCTCTCGTCCCTCTGGACGCCTGCAGGAAGTTCTCAGATGTCTGCAGAGACGCAGACGGACCTGCCTGCAGATGTTCACGTTTCTTCAACACAAACTGTGTTTTAAAACGATCCCAGCAATTTTTTTTTTATTTTTTATTTTTTTTTTTTTCCCCCTGTTTTAGGGCAAAGGTTTTCCTCCAGGTAAATGCTGTAAGCATCTGGTTCTGGGATCTTCTGAGAGCTAAACGTCTCTCTGACTCCAGATGTTTCTGCTGGTGAATCCAGATTCAGTCTGAACACATCCAGGATCCAGATTAGGATGTTAGTCTGAGTGTTTTTGTGTTTCTGCTCTTTGTCTGCCTCCATTGTCTGCAGGAGTCCATCTGCTGGCCTCCTCTGCCTCCCCCTCCTCTTGCTCACTCCTCCTGGCCCCTCAGTCTGCCTCCCCGTCCTCCCTCCTCTCTCTGAGTTCAGGAACATCATCAGAAAACTTTATAAATCTAAAATATTTCTTTATTTTGTCTGTTTAACAAAAACACAGCAGATAGCAACAATTAGGAAAGTGGTGGAAAATTTGAACTATTGACAGACCACATAATTCATAATATAAAATTTATTTTTTCCCCATTTTTTTAATGAAATCTCTGTATCAACAAAGATCCAAAATATAAAAAAGGCTTGGGACTGTTGCCTTATTAAAAGAAAAACAGGAAATTTCCAAATTTTGGGGGCCATCTGCTATTTTCTATTTTGTTGACAACTGTTTACCATTCTTGACTTTTGGTCGGGCCACACTGTGAACACCCTAGAATTATGATTATTTTAAAGACAAACACAGACCGGGCTTATATTTTTATTAAAAAGAGCTTAAAATAAAGCAATTGAATTTCAGCTCAACGTTTTGCATTTATTTTTAGTTTGTTATGATAGTAAAATTAAAAGCTGCTTAGTACTTGACTTTGTGATCCATATGGCAATGAACACAAATTTAGCTTAAGTTTTTTAAAGAACAAAAATGTTTTTATGTCCAATTTGTCTGTTTGCTGTTTTTTTCTCATCTTATTTTTTCTATATTTAGATTGTGTAAAGGGATTGAGAAAAAAATCACAAAATTCTTAAAATATTTTAAAAGTAGCACCACAAATGTGTGATTTTGACATTTTAGCTGTCAGAAGGAAAGATCTCCTGCAGCAGTCTGTATCGCAGCGGTTTTGAAGAAGCCTCAGACTGAAAACACTGCTGCATTATTTATCATCTTGTTGAGCTGCAGTAATTAAATAATCTGTTGAATAATCCATGGATTAATCAATTTACTGGATACTATGTGTGAAATCCCAAGTTTTTTTAGGCCTCATCCAACATCATTT